TCTCAGACAGCACCTTGCAAACCCACAATCACTTCCATCTAGAAGGATAAGGGCAGCAGGTACATGGGGTAAAACCACCACCTACAAGTTGCCCTCTAAGCCAGTCTCTACCCTGACTTGTAAATATATTGTCACTGTCGCTGGGTCAAAATCCTGGAATTCCCTCCCTAATGGCATTGTGGGGTAATCTACAGCCCATGGACTGCAGTGATTCAAGAAGTTGTGATCAGGTTGTACAGTTCTCTACAACAGCACCTCATTGTCACTGAGACACAGCAGGACATCCAGCACAGCAGCAGTGTGGAGAGTTGCCAGGAAGCCATGGGAAATACAGGTTACAGGGATAGGGTGGGGGGTCCGTGGTTCTGAGTGGGATGGTCTTTGGAGGGTTGGTGTAGACTCAATAGGCCGAATGGCCTGCTTCCACACTGTAGGGATTTCATGACTCAATGATTAGAGATGTCAGAAATGTTAAAATGCTGAAGGAACTTGGAATCATCACATCCTTTGAGAGAAACATTTGAGAAGTGATCTTAAAGAGTCACCCCAATGGATTGCAGTGGATCAAGGAGGCAACGTATCCCTACCTTCTCCCAGGTAGTTAAAGGTGGGCAATATCTGCTGGTCCAGCTGGTGAAGCCCACATCCAGTGAATATTTTTTAAAAAGTGTGTGGAGCAAGGGGAATCTGGAGAATTAAATTGTCAGAATGAAATACTGGGTCATGGGTTTTAAGTTGCAATCAGCACATAATTAATACAAGGGGATGCTCTGCACAAAGACGGTTCGGTATTTGGAACAGATAGAAGGTATTGGAAGGGAAAGCTTCGATCATTTAAGAAGCAATTGGATGCCGTCTTGATGGATTTTTACGGTAGGCCATTCAGCTCCTGTTGAACATTAAAGCCAGGAACAAAAACAAAGTTGCTGGAAAAACTCAGCAGGTCTGGCAGCATCCGGCAGAACATAGTTCTGAGGAAGGGTCACTGGACCCGAAACGTTAACTCTGTTTTTTCCTTCACAGATGCTGCCAGACCTGCTGAGCTTTTCCAGCAACTTTGTTTTTGTTCCTGATTTACAGCATCCGCAGTTCTTTCGGTTTTTATTTGGGATTGATGCTGGATACTGGTTGCAGCCTTTTGCAGTTAATAGTGCCACCTACTGGCTGACTGGAACAAGTAACCATAGAGTCATACAGCACGGAAACAGACCGTTTGATCCAAACAGTCCATGCTGACCCTAATCCCAAACTGGACTAGTCCCACTTGCCTTCTCTTAGCCCGTATGCCTCCAAACATTTCATAATCATGTACTTATCTAAATGCCTCTTAAACGTTGTCATTGTACCTGCATCAGCACTTCCTCTGGAAGTTCATTCCACACACCAAACTCTCCCTGTGTAAAAAAAAATTGCCCCTCATGTCTTTTTCAAATCTCTCTCCTTGATCTTAAAAATATGCCCCCTAGTCTTGAAATCCCCCACCCTAGGAAAATACACCTGCCATTCACCTTATCTATACCCCTCATTATTTGATAAACCTGTATAGGGCCATCCCTCAACTTCCTGTACTCCAGTGAGAAAAAGTCCCAGCCTACCCAGCCTCTACTTATCACTCAAAAGCTCCATTCCTGGCAACATCCTGGTAAATCTCTGCACAACCCATTCCAGCTTAACAATAGTCTTCCCATAACAGGGAGACCAGAACTGGACACAGTATTCCAGAACAGGCTTCACAAACACCCTGCACAACCTTAACATGACTTCCCAGCTCCTATAGTCAAAGGTCTGAGCACTATCTGATGTTTTTATCCTCTAACCAATGTCAGGCAGCCTTATTTTCCACTTCTCTTCAACATATTAACAGGAAAAGACAGGGTAGATAAAGATAAACTATTTCCACTGGTTGGAGATTCTAGTCTGAGAATTAGAGCCAGACCATTCAGGAGAGATGTTAGGAAGTACTTCTACACACAAAGGGTAGTACAGGTCCAGAACTCTCTTCCACAAATGGCAGTGGATCCTGAACCTGTTGTTAATTTTCAATCCAGAATAGAAAAATTTTGGTTAAGCAGAAATATTAAAGTGGCTCAGTGGTTAGCACTGCAGCCTCACAGCGCCAGTGACCTGGATTCAATTCCACCCTTAGGCGACTGTCTGTGTAGAGTTTGCACATTCTCCCCGTGTCTGTGTGGGTTTCCTCTGGGTACTCCGGTTTCCTCCCACAGTCCAAAGATGTGCAAGTTAGGTGGGTTGGCCATGCTAAATTGTCTGTACTGTGCAGCTTCAGTGGGTCAGCCATGTTAGTAAATGTGTGTGTATGGTAGGGTGATGGGCTGGGTCTGAGTGGAATGCTCTTCGAAGACTCAATGGGCCTAACGGCCTGTTTCTGCACTGTAAAGGTTCTGCGACATGAGCCAGAATGAAGTATATGGAGTTAGGGGACAGATCAGCCACGGTCTCCTCAAAGAATTCTAACAGATTTGTCAGACATGGACCCCCCGCTTGATTAAGCTGTGCTGACTCAGCCCTATTTTACCATGCATTTTGAAGTACTCCACAATAACTGGTCGGGACTCGATGGGCCAAATGGCTGCTTCCACGCTGTAGGGATTCTATGATTCTATACATCATCCTTAATAACGGACTCTAAAATCTTACCAACGATCAAGGCCAGGCTTATCAGCCTATAGTTTCCTATCTTCTGCCTCCCTCCCTTCTCAAGCAGGGGTATTACATTAGCTATTTTCCAGTGCTCTGGGACCCTCCTAGTAATTCATCACCGACGCTAATCTTCTCAGCTATCTCCTTCTGAACTCTGGGGTGTAGTCCACCTCGTCCGGGTGACCTATCCGCCTTCAGACTTTTCAGCTTTCCCAGCACATTCTCCATAGTGATGGCCACTACACTCACCTCTGCCCCCGACTGTCTTGAAGTTCTGATCTGCTGCTCTGTCTTCCATTGTGAAAACTGATACACAGTACCTTCAGCTCCTCTGCCATTTCTTTGTTCCCCATTACTACTTCTGCAGTCTCATTTTTCAGCCATTCAATGTCCACTCTTGTCTCTCTCTTACCTTTTATATATCTGAAAAATCCCTTGCAATCCTTGTTTTATATTATTAGCTAGCTTACCCTGATATTAAATATTTTCATTCCTTTTTTTTCAGTTATCCTCTGCTGGTTTTTAAAGATTTCCCAATCCTCTAGCTTCCCACTAATCTTCATCATATTGTATGCTTTTTCTTTTGCTTTTATGCTGTCCCTGACTTCCCTTGTCACCCATGGTTACCTCATTCTCTCCTTAGTATGTTTCTTCTTCCTTGGGATGAATTTCTCCCGTGCCTCCCAAATTAACCCAGAAACTCCTGCCATTGCTGCTCCACCATTTTCCCTGCAAGGCTCCCCTTCTAATCAACTCTGGCCAGCTCCTGCCTCATGTCTTTTAATTACCTTTACTCAATTGTAATACCGTTACATCTAATTCCAGCTTCTCTCTTTCAAACTCTAGCATGAATTCTATCATAGGTCACTGCCCCCTAGGGGTTTCTGCACCTTAAGTTCCTTATGCAAGTCTGCTTCATTACACATGACCAAATCTATAACTGCCTGTTCCCCAGTGAGCTTTACCACAAGCTGCTCCAAAAAACATCATGTAGACATTGCACAAATTCCTTTTTTTTGAGATCTGCTACCAAGCTGATTTGCCCAGTCCACCTGCATACTGAAATCCCCTACGATTACTGTATTAGTTCCTTTCTTACATGCCTTTTCTATCTCATGATCTATTTTCTACCCTACACCCTGACAACTGCTAGGAGGCCTATTATAATTCCCATCAGAGTCTTTTTTCCTTTGAGGTCCTTCATCTCTATCCACACAGATTCTACACCTTCCAATTCTATATCACGTCTTGCTATTGATTTAATTTCATTTCTTGCTAACAAGGCAACTCAAGCCCTCTGCCCATTTGCCTGTCCTTTTCATACGCTGCATATCCTTGGTTATCTAGGTTCCAGCCCTGATCTCCTTGCAGCTACGTCTCTGTGATAACCATCTCTCTTGGCAATTTCCATCTGTGCTCCAAGCTCATTTACATTATTCTGTATACTGTGCGGCTTTAAGTCAAACACCCTTAGTTTTGTGCTGACAGCCTCCCTCTCATTGTTGTCCCCTTATCTGCAGTGCCTGAAGTTAGATTCCTAACCTTTTTCATAACCTCTGTCCTGTGACTTATTCTGCAAACTTCAATAACCTTTGCAGAGCCCTCTCCCCACTAAACCTTTTTGCATAATTTTCCATGCAACTGAGCCTACCCTCAACAATTTAGTTTAAATCCCTACGCTGAAAATGGAGGGACAGGCCCCAGGGGCTGAATACCCTACTCCTGTTTCTATGTTCCATGAAAATTAAACACATTTTCTTTGAATAACTCGGGGAGAAGGTCCAGGAAATTAACTGCTGAAGGGTCCAGGGTTGGCCTGGAGAGCTGGTGACTGGTAGCTTGCACAGTAGACAATCGGGACGCTGGAAGAACACAGCAGGCCAGGCAGCATCTGGAGGAAAGGAGCAGTCAACCTTTCAGGTATGACCCTTCTTGAGTCCTGAAGAAGGGTTACACCCAAAACGTTGGGAGGAAGGGTCACCGGACCCGAAACGTTAACTCTGTTTTCTCCTCCACAGATGCTGCCAGACTTGCTGAGCTTCTCCAGCAACTTCCAGCACCCAAAACGTTAACTGCTGCTTTCCTCCAGATGCTGCCTAGCTTGCTGTGTTCCTCCAGCCTCCCATTTGTCTACCAGCATCTGCAGTTGTTTTCTCTCCCCAATCTAAGTAGCTTGCACAGTGGTCCTCCGCTCCAGGCGAGGGCGCTACCAAGCCCTCCTGATTGGCTGCTGCGCCTGTTTGGCCTGACTGGCGACACGCCGCCCGTGGGGGGGGGGAGCGGAGCGGGAATATTGGTCTTCTGATTGGTTGATTCTGTTTCCCTCCCTGATTGGTGATTGCTGGGACGAATCAGGTGCCCCGTTTTGCCGGGGTGTGCTGGTGGGATGGCGGCGGTATGCGGGCGGCTGCTGAGCTGTGGAGGTGAGACAAAGCCGTGTCAATCCAGAGGAAGCAGCATCCTGACCGATATGTTTACTGCTCCTCCCAGTGAGGTTAATTTCCTGGAGATAGTAGGAACTGCAGATGCTGGAGAATCTGAGGTAACAAGGTGTAGAGCTGGATGAACACAGCAGGCCAATCAGCACCAGAGGAGCAGGAAGGCTGACGTTTCGGGCCTAGACCCTTCTATTTCTGATGCTGCTTGGCCTGCTGTGTTCATCCAGCTCTACACCTTGTTACCTCAGGTTCATTTCCCGCTTGTGTTCATCCTTGCCGCGTGTAAAGGCGATGAGCAAGATGGACTTTCATTGCTATAGCGCCTGTCACGACTGTATGACTTCTCGCGGTGTAGTGGCTGTGGGTTAGAATTGTTTTGATCCAGGCCAGTGCTAAGGGAACGTGGGTTCAAAACCCATCTCATGTTGCTTAGAACAGTGTATCCCAACAACAAGCCCTTTGGCCCACCATGTCTGCACTGACCAAGATGGCTTTCTAAACTAATCCTGTCTGCCTGCTATATACCCCTCTATTCCCAGCCTGTATCTATCTGGTCTATCTAAACGTCTCTTAAACATTACTAATGTATCTGCTTCTATCACTTCCCCTGGCAGCGTGTTCCAGGCACCTACCGCCCTCTGTGTAGAAAACTTGCCTTGCACACCTCCTTTAAACATTTTCCCCTCTTACTTTAAACCTTTGTCTCCTAGTATTTGAGATTTCCATCCCAGGGGGGAAAAAAAGACTTGCAACTTTTTTTTGTCTTGCACCTCATTCGGTATACCTGTACAATTTGGGTAAATATGGTGTTCATAACTGAGCCCAAAACTTTGATTGTGGTCGTACCAATTTAAGTAGAGGGCCAGAACTGTGCTGTAATCTATATGTGACCCAACCAAGGTTGAGTTTTTTTTTTAAACTCTTAATCCTGGATTTTTTTATTGAATTCAAATGCCATCATCTGCTGTGGTGGGATTTGAACTCAGGTTCCCAGGCCATTAGCTGAGTATCTGCATTAATAGTTGAGTGATAATACTACTAGGCTATGGCCTCCCCAAATGACAAGGCTGAAGTGTTCAAACGACTTTTAGCCAGGAGCACAACATGTACGATTCATCTCAGCTTCAGCTCTCGAGCACCACAGATATTGGCCTTTGGCCACTTTGATTCACTCCATGTGATTTAATTCATTCATGGGATGTGGGTGTTCCTGGCTAGGCGAGCAATTATTGCCCATCCCTAATTCCCTGGAGGGCAGTTATGTGTTACTTTGGGGCTGAATGTACAGCAGATTACTTTCCTTAGAGGACATTAGTGATGTAAATAGGTGTTTTTGATAATTGACAGTGATTGCCATTAGACTAGCTTTTTAATTCCAGATTTTGTAATCCAGATTCCAAATTCTGGTTCACTGATGTCCTCACAGGAAGAAATCTGCTGTCCTTACCTGGCCTGGCCGTCACGTGATTTATTGTCTGAAATGGTCACTCAGTTTAAGAGGTAATTAGGGATGGCCAACAAGTTTTCTACTTGTCGTTGATATCCCTATCCCATGAAAGGATTTAAAAAAATGACTGTCCAATACAAGTATATGATGACTCAACAACTGCTTAATGATGGTTCTGGATGTTATTTTATCTTTTTCTTAGTCTTCTGTAGCCAAGATTATGCCCTGCAAAAATGCTGCTCTGAAATAATTTAAAAAGAGGGCCCAAGAAAATACTTCTACCTTAACTATCCTCCTGTTCTATTGAGAAATTTCTCATTATCATCTTAAGACCAATAAGCATTCACATTGAAGGTCTTGAAGGAAACCTGTTTGAATTGAAACTGCTTCATTTCTTAAAAGGCTGAAGTGTTCACTAACACAAATATCTTTTTTTTTTTAAGGGTGTTTTCCACCCCATCAAATCGTGCGTCATGGATCCAAGGCTGTCACTCGGCACCGCAAGCCCTTGCATATTCTACGTCAGAAGCTGCTGGCTGTCACGGAATATATCCCTCCCAAGCCTGCCATCCCAGAAAGATGCATCAGAGCTCCGAAGCAGGAGGTGAAAGAGGTGAGGACAATTGATGAACGTTGCTTTGGGATTACATTGACATTTTTTCACCCCACTGTGTATAGGGGAAAGAGTCTTTGAGATGAAAATTTATTTATTTGACGTGGATTTTGATTCAGGAATTTACCAAAAGCTGCGCAAATTTGCACAGTTCCACATGATTTTAGATAAAAAGTGAATTGGGCATTACTGCTATTTAAATAATTATTCAGTAGTACGGTACTAAAGCATTGCTGAAAAAAAAGACATAATCTGTTGAAGATTTTTGTCTTGCATTGATTAGGACAATTCACAAGAAATTCCAAAAAAATGTAAACTGCATGAGGAGAGAGTGGTGATCAATTGACTGGTTGGCTTTTACTTCCTAGAAATGTTGTTATGGATGATGCCTACGTTACAGATGACAAATAATTAACAACTGGGCTTTAAACTTTTAATGAGGCAATTTATCTCTGGTTAAGGTAATACCCTAATAGATAGAGAAATCAATCATAGAATAACTCTCACTTGTTGAGGTGAAAAAGGTAAAGTTTGTGAACCTGATTTTTGCATTTGCAAAGAGCAGGTCCCTGTGTCTTAATGTGCTGCATTTGCATACAGTAGAAACTCCATATATTAATTTACATGAGTTGTTCTTCACAACAGAAGGAACTTATACGCTGCCTTGTTTCAATTCAACAAAATAGGTGACAACTGTTTTCTGGTTTAAGATTTAAACAAAGTGTGTCAGGTAATTGTCAGTCATCGTTAACTCATACATTTTCCAAGGCAATGCCTCCCAATCTGTCTACTTGGCAACCAATCAGCAGTCCATTCATACAGTGTAAATGTTGTTTACCTTTTGGTATTTATTGTGAATTGCATTGATGAGTCTAAGATGAAAGTCTTCAATAAAATATGTCTTTATTTAACAACGCTCAAGTTACTGTTACTGAAAGATCTCCTATACTATTGCTCCCAGGTGCTGGGGCACAAATATTTGCAATGCTTCTCCGTAGCAAAACACAATCAAGATAGAGAACGCAGGAATTGTTGCATTGGAGCTTTCGTTCATACAGACGCAGTCTTTTGAGAAAATATGGTTTGAGGCTAGGCTGTTGGTCCAATAAATTCCTTTCTGTGTTATACAATCCACGCTCATTTCTCATTCAGATCACTGGAGTCATACAGCACGGCAACAGATCTTTCGGTCTAACCAGTCCATGCCAACCATAATCCCAAACTAGACTAGTCCCACCTGCCTGCACTTGGCCCACATCTCTCCAAACAATTCTTATTCATGTGCTTATCCAAATATCTTTCAAACATTGTAACTGTACCCACATCCACCACTTCCTCTGGGAGTTCATTCCACACATGACCCACTCTCTATGTAAAAATAAAGTTGCTACTCATATCTTTCTAAGATCTTTCTCCGCTTGCCTTAAAAAATATCCCTCCTAGTCTTGAAATCCCTCACCTAGGGAAAAGACGCCTGCTATTCATCTTATCAATACCCTTAATGATTTTATAAACCTATATAAGGTCACTTCTCAACCTCCTATGCTCCAGTGAAAAAGGTCCTAGCCTATCCAGCTGTAGAGCATACAAAGTTATGAAACTTCCTACAGACCATAGTTTGCAGACAAAACTTGACGCCGAGCCATATAGAGGTATTAGAGCAGATGACCAAATCTTGGTCAAAGAAATAACTCTTAAATAGTGTGCTTAAGGGAGAATAAAGAAGCAGAAGAGTTCAAGAAGACATTTTATGTACCTGGCAACTAAAGGCACTGTTTCCAAAGGTGAAACGGTTGAAATCAGAAATGATCAAGAGCCCAGAATTAGCACAGTGCAGAGAACCTGGAGGCTTGTGTGGCTGGAGGAGGATAACACAGATACAGCAGGGCTGGGGGTTGGGTGGGGGAGGGGCAAGGGGTTATAGTAGGGTTTTAAACAAGGATGACAGAAGTCTTGTTATACTTTGAACTTGAGGCAATATGAATTTTCTTTCTTATGAGACTTGAAAAAAAAAACTTCCTTCGAAAGAGGTATTTTTGAGAATGTTTCCCTTTAGCACTAGAAAGAGAAAAATAATGTGGAATAGTGTGAATGCTGTTGCGGTACATTATTTTGACCACAAGAGGTCCCTTGTGAGCCACAGAAATGTTTCAGAGATCTCCAGTAGCGAAAACTGTTGGTTTTTGTTTATTCCACGGCAAAAAATAAAGTCCTAACTTAGGGATGCAATTAATAAATCTTCTTTCCAGTGTGGAATTCAGAAATAGGAATGAGGAGGACACTGAAATAATTTCCGGGTATAGGTTGAGTTATCGTGTCTCTGTTGGGACAGGTGGTAGGAATACTGTGCCTTTGGGTTAGAGAGAGGAAACGTCAACAGGGCTTTTCATTACAATTCCCTATCTAGTAATGCTGGTGGGAGAGGCACCACTGCCGATTTCGCAGCAGAAAATTTCTGGGTTTGGCTGTGATTCTGCTGAGGGTGCACAAGCCCAGAATAAGTTGTTGCCTGCAAAATACCTGGGAAACTGGACTGTGACAATTTAAAGAGAGCGGGATGATGAGCAATTGTTTTGATGGCTGAACACAAGTAACCAGCACTGGCTGTTAACAAAGGCATCTGCCTTTTCCTGTGCATTGAACAATATTTCACCGTTTTCCACGTGTGGCTGTAATGCCGTAGATAACGTTTGTGTGTAAATCTCTCCTTTAGCCATCCGGTTTTGAAAAGCTCCTCCAGCGAGAGGTGGAAGTAACATTCAGTGAGAATAAAATGATTACCGTTTTCCAGAACAACTCCATCAACTCAGAGGACCTGAAACTACTTCGCCATCGATTACTGAAACATGATATTCGCATGAAATTCTTCCCTAACCAGGTTTCTATTAACCTTGCATCCTATATGTCATTCTGTAACTGATATCATTTCAAGAATTACTGCTGCCAAATAAGCGGTGTTTGCTTCATAGCTGGTCCTCTGTTTAACTGTTGGATATTTGTCCTACTCCCCTTTTCTCCCTCCTCATGTACGCTTCAGAAGATGTGGGGAGGCAACAAAACACAAAACAAATTAGTTCCCATTTAAAGATACTAGTTATGTTAGCGCGGTGGTTATGTTACAGGACTCGTAATCCAGAGGTCTAAGCAGATGATCAGAAGACCAGTGTTCAAACCTCATCATGGCAGCAGTTTAAGTTATGCCAATTAAACAAAATTGACAATAAATAAAATCAGTGACACGGTTTTGTAAAAGCTGAGCTATTTCACATGATCTGGCCTACCTGTGACTCCAGACCCACGCCATTGCAGTTGACTCTTCACTGTTTTCTGAGATGGCTTAACAAGTCATTTAGTTGTTTCGAGAGCATTTAGAGATGATGCCCTGTTAATAAATAAACAGCTCAAAGGTTAAACACTTTCCAGTTGATCTCCAATGGGATTGCGTAAGGAGAATTATGACCAAGTTATGCATTGGTGTCTGGATAGGAACTTGAACCCACGACCTTGTGATTTAGAGGCACAAGGGTTACCACTGAACTAAGCTTGACACTGACGTCAGTAAATCTTGTCGTGCATCATAATTGCTGTCTGAATATTGCCTGTTTCAGTTCAGTCACTATATTACATAAGAGCAAGTCTGTTTAAAGGCATCTTTCAAGTCAACACCTTGTAACAGCATCGATTATTTCTGTCTCAGGTTCTGCGTTCGTATCTAGAAAATACCAAGTACAGGAACCTGCTGCCTCTGTTTATTGGTCACAATATCATTATTGTGAGTAAGGAGCCCAAAGCAAAAGAGCTTCTTCAGACCGTGCGCAATACAACTCAGATCAGTTTACTGGGTAAGACCTACTCTCAAGCAATGGCAGAGCTGGGTTTAAATTAAAACCATAGTTATTGACAGTCTCCAGTTGCATCTAAACATTCCTAAACTTGATTTCACACATTGCATTAGATTATATGCTGTCTTTCACAGAACCATAAGCTTTAGTATAACAATTGCTTTTCATTTTGAGACTGAAGAAATTTTATTCAAGAAAATCAATCATACATTTCATGCTTACATTGTTATAATATGAAACACAGATTCCCACTAGAACTTGATTATTTGTAGAGGATTTCAGCCCTTGCTTTATGTTTGAGCATCGACAGCTACTGATTGTCATAACTTTACTTTCTGGTCACACATTCTCAGGTAGTAAAGGGGAATGCTGACATTAGTGTATAAAATACACTTAAACATTTATTCTGATTTTATAACTGGCTTGCTGTTAATTCTCTTTATTGGATTTAATTTTTTTTTTAAAACAATCTTTGGTGAGCAAATGGTCAATCTATGAAACAGATTGTTTCATGAAGGTGGAAGGGATTCGTATTGATGCATTTAGATGTAAATCACATAGGTTTTGTATTTAAAAAACAAACACTGTGGGACGGAGCATAGAATTCATTTGAGATGTGATGGGTGATGTGTAGCTTGATTCTGACCTGCAGTTCTTGAAGTCGTCCACCATTTGGGATTTTCTCACTAAACTACGTTCACCAATCGCGGTTATTGAGCTTCGTTGACTCCTGGTCCAGCAGTTTTTCAGTTTTCTCCTCCTTGGCTTTAAATCTTTCCATGGTGTTGCTTCTACCTGTAATGTCCTCAAATCTTATAATCCTTTTGGATAGAACAAAGAACAATACAGCGCAAGAACAGGCCCTTCGGCCCTCCAAGCCTGTGCCGACGCATTTTGCCCTTCCATTTTAAACTGTCTTCACAGGATTCGTATCCCTCTATTCCCTTCCTGTTCCTGTATTCATCCAAGTGTTTCTGGAAGGCTGCTGTTGTGTCTGCTTCCACCACTCTTCTGGCAGCACGTTCCAGGCACTGACCACCCTTCATGTGAAAAACATGCCTTACACATCTCTTTTAAACTTCCCCCATCGCACCTTGAGCCTGTCTCCCCTACTAATTGACCCCTCTAGCCTGGGAAAAAGCCTCATACTTTCCACTCTATCCATGCCAATCACAATCTTATAAACTTCTATCAGATCGCCCCTCAACCTCCTGCATTCTAGTGAAAAAAAACCCAGTCTATCCGACCTTTCTTCATAGCTAAAATCCCCAGACCAGGCAATGTCCTGGTAAACCCTTTTTGTAACACCTCCAAAGCATCCACATCCTTCTGGTAGTGTGGTGACCTCTGCACTTCTCTAATTCTGGCCTGTTGTTCATCTCTAGGTTTACCTGCTGTACCATTGCTGGCCATATCTTCGGTTGTCTTGCTTCAAAGCTTTGGAATGCCCTTCCTAAACCTTAGATAACAAGGTGTAGAGCTTGATGAACACAGCAGGCCGAGCAGGAAAGCTGACGTTTCGGGTCTGGACCCTTCTTCAGAAAAATATTTTTCTGAAGAAGGGTTCAGACCCGAAATGTCAGCTTTCCTGCTCCTCTGATGCTTTTCTGAAGAAGGGTCCAGACCTGAAATGTCAGCTTTCCTGCTCCTCTGATGCTGCTTGGCCTGCTGTGTTCATCCAGTTCTACACCTTGTTATCTCAGATTCTCCAGCATCTGCAGTTCCTACTATGTCTTCCTAAACCTTATACCCCACCCCCTCCACCTCCAATACCCTTTCCTCCCTTTCTTTCTCCTTTAAGCTGGAAACTAAACTCTAACACTTGACCAAACCTTTGGTGATCTGCCTTAATTTCTCCTGATGTGGCTTGGTGTTAAGTTTTACTGAAAGACATAAGAATTATGAACAGGAGTTGGCCGTAAAGGACCTTGAGCTTGCTTAGTTTCAACTACACTTTCCTGTTTTTCCCCCATAACCATTGATTCCTCTAAAGTTCAAAATCTCTCCATTTCAGCATTAAATGCATGCGTTTCTTTTTGACTGATAATGCTCATGGGATATTTTACTGTGTCAAATATATACTCTATCTCACTATATCATATACAATATGTTTACTACATGAATATATGTTATTTTTCTTCTGTTTCTGTGACTATAATAGACTAATAACCAACATTGATCACTGATGTTTCCAGCAGTACACAATTGTCAGAACGCAGAAGATGCTAAGATATGCCCCTATTGATTGTGCTGTCTTTTCCTGTGCAGGTGCTTGTATTGAAGATGTACTCTTCAGCAGACAGGGCGTGGTTAACTATTCCAGACTCCCAGGAATGCAGATCATCCGTGGGGAGATTGTCAGTGGCCTGACTCTTATGACGTCTCAGACATGCCAGCTTCTACAGTCTGGCCCTGCACACCTTACTGCCTTGTTGGAACAGTATGTGAAACAGCAGAGTGAAGCTGCCACTGGACTAAAAGAGACTGAGAATCTAGAGCAGAAGGAAATACAAGGGAGTCCAGGATCTTAGGACTTCTGGAATTTAGGATTTTTTTTCTGGGTGACAAAATATCCCTCTGCTTGAGGAATCACATAGATTCTGGAGGAAATAAAGCCACATGTCTATTCATGCGTAGAAGTGTAAAGGACTGTTTATTGGAAGCTAGCTTGTATCTTTTAATAACATTGTAAAACGTAGGAACAGCAGTAGGCTGTTCGGCCTCTCGAGCCTGCACCACCATTCAGTAGGATCACGGCTGATCTGATATTCCTCACGTCTTTTTTCCTACACTTTCCCCATGCCCTTCATTCCCGACTGTTCAAGAATATATCTCGGCCTTAAATGTCCCAAAATATATTGCTTTTACTTATGACATGGCGCCTTACCAAATGCTTTCTGGACAGTAAATCTACTGGTTCCTCTTTATCACAGCAATTTTAGACATCAAAGAACTCCAATAAACTGATAAAACATTATTTCCATTTAAAGAAAACGGTTAACTCTGTTGACAGAAAATAAAAACTCATGAAGTGGGGGATAACGTAGTAGCATGACAGAAGATTATCTAGTTAATGGGAAACAGAGATTTGGCATAAATGAGTGATTTTTTTGGTTGGCAAGATGTAATAAGCGGTTTGCCACAGGGATCAGTGCTGAGATCTCAAGTTTTCACGATTAATATCAATAACTTAGATGAATGAACTGAAGGTTTGGTTGCTAAATTCACAGATGACATAATGAAAGATAAATAAAGAAAAGTGAGTTGTGAGAAGGACATGGGATTACAAAAGAATATAATTGGGTTAAGCGAGTGGGCAAAGATCTAGCAAATGGAGTGAACTGTGGGAAACGTAAAAATTGTCCATTTGGAAGGAAATATGAAAATGAACAGTAGTCACTAAATAGTGAGGGATTGCAGAGCTCAGAGATGAAGAGGGATCTGGATGACTTAGTGTATGAATTGCAAAAGGTTAGAATGTGGGTACAGCAAGTAATTACAAAGGCTAATAGAATGTTATTTCTAATTACAAGGGAATTGAATACAAAAGTAAGGAGATTATGCTTCAGTTGCAAAGGGTGTTGGTGACACCACCTCTGGAGTACTGGTCTCTTTATTTAAGGATGGATGTAAATGCATTTATTTCAGGACAGTTCTGAAGAAGAGTCATAGTGGACTTGAACAGTGTTCTCTGTTTCTCTTTACAAAAATGCCGCCTGACCTGCTAGGTTTCTCCAGAATTCTTGGATTGTTTCAGATTTCCAGTCTCCACAGTATTTTCCTTTTTATTCATGTGAGGAAAAGGGACTGACTGTGCAGGGTAGCTGCAATTGCTCAGATTTAGAGATAGCTTGGGACTTGAATTCTGTATGTGGATTGGAATTTGAGTCATCACGAAATTCGAAAGCTTGAAGATTTACTGGGAGATGATCTGATTCATCAAAAAAGTTGTTTTTTAGATGCTATAGAAATGTAAAGGATAAATTAATTTGATGACCGACACTATTTGAATTATATTTTATTAAATATTTATATTTGCTGTGTTGACCCTTTATATAATTACCTAATCAATGAATAAATATGATCGAATATTTTTAGCCTGTGAATAGTGGCCTTACATTGTTATTTTCCAGGAAGCTGAATTGTTTAAGTGACTTTTTACAATGGATGGACAACCTACAGCTAAAGGGAAATGAGTTTTCTGCAGGCCTTGGCCATTTCTTGATGTCATGTCCAAGACTATCTCTTCCATGAGCAAAGAGGTCAAACCTGTATAATGATGGCTATGATCGGTTTTGGCAATGAACTTGTAATAATGCTTAGTATATTCATTACTGGAGAATACATTGAGATACACTTCACCTTCAACTGTCCTTTTGGGAAGATAGATTAACCAAGGAGCAGGTGGAGTAGGCCATTTGGCCCTGCAAGCCTGTACTGCCATTCAATAAGATCATGTTGATCTGATTGTAACCTCAAATCTGCATTCTTGCATACCCCTGATAAACTTCCACCCTTTGCCAAGAATCTATCCATATCTGCCTTAAAAATATTCGAAGACTGTTTCCACTGCCTTTTAAAGAAGGGAGTTTTCCCAAATACACTTACTGCACACAATGCTCCAGAATTTCATTGGTGAATTTTGTGCATGTGTTAAGGCAGGCCATAACACACAATATTTTTCAACTTTTGGATCCAGTGTTTGCATTAACCTTCCCACAATGAACCTAAACTAAAATGACTACAAAACAAACCACCTACTGCTTTGCCTACCGATATGCTTAAATCTTGGTTTTGAGGCTCATTCCCACTTTAAGCTGAATGGTTTTGCAATTAAAAGCAAACTGTTTAATGCAAGATCCCCCATTTCTCATAAAATACACCCAAGATTAAGATTGGGTTTAAGGTCATGGTTAAGGTTTTTGCTTGATTTTCTCTTACAAATAGAATGTGTACTGTGAAAAGAAATAATAAAACAATCATGATCGCTATTCATAGAATTCTTCAGATTATGGTTGGCATTTAGTACAAATAACCTTTATTAGCAAGAAGGGGACAATTGTTAGTAAAACAAGGTTGTACAAGGGATGTGACATTCTTCCAGACAAGAGGGTGGGCTATATTGAAAAAGAAAATCAAATCAATAAACAACAGGTAAGTTAGGAAACTGAAGAAAACTTATTGAAAAGTGTAGTGTGTCTCTGGAGCCCTGCAGAGATCCTAAGTTTTCCTTTGTAATTAGTAGAAAAAAAAACCAATTGATGAAGGTTTTGTTCTGTAGCTAATGCAAAGACTGGTGATATAGATTGCTTTCTTTTATCATTAATGCTGAAGAATTTGAGTGCAACAGTAAACTTAGTAAAAATTATATGCAATCAAGTGTTATCAAGTTTAAAAACCTTACAGTAGAATTTAAACTCTTAAGTTTTAAAAAAAAAAAAATTCTTGATGTTGTATGTTGACTTTCACACCAAATTCAGTGGCGAATTAAGTTAATATCTTATGCAATGGGTAATTATTTCAAAAGGTGGAATATCTTTTAACATTTATGATAAAATTTATAAATCAGTAAACTGAATGAGTTAACTAATTTATTCATTTTGTAATGTGATATAAAATGTCAAAGAAATCAAACTAAGAAAAAGAATATAATGGAATTGATTCTGGTTAATGGGAAAATGTCAAGTGTTGGAGAAACTGAACACAGCAAGATTGGTTTGTGGCTTGTATGAGTCAAACGTGACTTTCATAGTTCATGTCACAAGGCAACAAGACTTCTAAATATAGACATAATGTCTAGGTTTGCTTTTGGTGTGATCAGCAGTGAAGTCACATAATATTTTGGTCCAGGAAGTCTAGTTTTTGAGAGGCTTCAGAAATGTGAACTGGTCATTGTAAATATCTATTTTTACTAAAGTGGCAGCACTTTTGATTATCAGGGAGAAGTTTACAAGTGAAGCCCCACACTAAGGAGTGATGGGTTAGGAGAAATTATAGACACTCGCCTTTGGTTCCCACTTATGATGACAGGTCATCCACCTGAAACGTAAACTCTGCTTTTCCACAGATGCTGCCAGACCTGCTGAGTGCTTTCAACATTTGCTGTTTTTATATCAAGTTTCCAGCATCTGCATTATTTTGCTGTCATTGCAATTGGTTTAACCTCTATTTAGGCTTTATATTTTATTGATCTAAAATGCTATCTTTGTATATCTCTCATGATGTTTTCCTGGTTGAACTTTTCCTGAATTTTCTCTTTGTAACGAAAGGCTTTAGATTAGATCTTTCCTTTTCCTTTCACCTTTACTAAAGCTTGAGTATTTGAGTATATAAAGACAGATGTTAACCTCCACAATTGAATATTATAACATGAATAAGGTGATATCAAGATTTTTCTCAGTGCATGTCATAGAAAGGTAGTTTATATGAATTGCAACATTTTAATAAATCATGTAAATATGAAACAATAATCCAAAATTCATCATCAGGATGGCTTCAGGGATGATGGATTTTAAATTCCTTGGAGAGATTGGAGAAGCTGGAAATGTTCTTAGAAGATTGAGAAGTGATACAATATAGAAGACTTGTAAATCATGAGGAAAGCAGATGCAGAGAATCTGTTCTTGCGGTGAAGCGTCAAGCATCAGAGTACATTTTTAAATTGATCATCAAATGAAACACATATCATGAGGGAACAAACAGAAATTGCTGGAGAAACTCGGCAGGTCTGGCAGCATTTATGGAGAGAGAACAGAGTTAATGTTTTGGGTCAGTGACCAGAGAACATTTCTGAAGGAGGGTCACTTGACTTGGGAGGGTCACTTGACTGTCTCTACACAGATGCTGCCAGATCTGCTGAGTTTCTCCAACAATTTGTTTTCGTTTCAGATTTCCAGCACCTGCAGTTCTTATTTTTAATGTCATGAGGGAAAACCTTTTACAGCAAGTGAAGTCTGGAGTGCACTGCCTAAGAATATGGTGGAGGTACAGTTCTTCTAAAGAAGAGACACTGGACCCGAAACAGTAAATCTGTTTTCTCTCCACAGATGCTGCCTGACTGCTGAGTTTTTCCAGCAATTTTGGCTTTTGGACTTTGTAATAAAGTTGCTCACTGCTAACAACATTATACCCTTCTCCCGATTAGCTGAAAGATTGTAAGCCTGTCCTCAGGGGCTGAAACATTGAAGTCCTCTCCCATTAGTGAGAACTGTACATCCCACTCCCCATTGGCTGAAACATTGTAACCCTCTCTCCATTGGCTGAAACATTGTAACCCTC